TTCTGAGCTGCTGGTGTTCTCCAGCACCTCTGCGTCAGACCACGACAGCTGGAAGCCCTGATCTTCAACAGATTCCCTGCTTGCAACACTAGCAACAGGGATTTCTGAGAATTTGGTGCTTTTATTTTATAACTACTTTTCATATTAGTTTACGCTTATATTGGCTAGGATTAGTACTAGCCTAGGATCTATTCTATATATAGGAATTTAGTTTATATATATATATATAATATATCATTCATTCTCTCCACTACACCAACGCTTCTCAATATATTATCTACACACACACAAACACATTTACGTAACATCCAGAAATCTAATTTGCAGCGCACAGCACACTTAGAGGTTCCAGTTTATAGTTTCATAGTTTCATAGATTTAGGGTCGGAAGACACCCACTGCCTGTGCCTGAGACTCTCTCACGTCCAGACACGGCAGCCACAACCTCTCCCACCATAACTGCAACCAGCACAGCAGCGCACTCCACCACTGTGTCACTGCTTATGCTGAGCCTTTCGGCGCCAGAAGAGCTGGCACTGGATCTGGATCTCAGTGTCCTGGCAAGGGAAGCTCTAGGGAAGGAGGGGGAATCAGTCAAGTTTGTGCTCGACACCCCTCACATTTTTTCCTTTCAAGCCACGAGGTCTTTCCCAGAAGGCACTTCAGAAGGTGCCTCTGTACAGGTGAAGGCAAACGGCTCAGCTGAGTCTGCTATTTCTCTTGCTGTGCCTCTGACTGCTGAAGAGGGGGAGAGTTCAGCAGCATCCACAGATGCACCCGCACACCAGAGGGAAATGCCTAGTACTAGCATGGTCTGGGATCATTATGAGCTGGCAGATGATCCCGCGTTCGCTATGTGTGTGCACTGCCAAGCCAAAATCAGCCGGGGCAAGGGAACAAAGCGCATGACGACCTCGGGGATGCTGAATCATTTCTGCAGGTACCATCCCTTTGCCACAGGGATGAGAATTTGGGTTGCTGTTTCTCCGAACCCCCTGAACCTACCTTGTTGAAACTTGGCACGCTTTGCGAGCTCCTCAGAAGCTACCATTCCTGCAGGTTTCACCAAGATCAGACAAAAAATGCCAAAGTTATAGCCTGCTTCGACCTTCCCCATTATAGCCTATGGGGAAGTCAAAGCAGCTCGAATATTCGACTGAGCTTCGACCTCGACTCGAAGCAGACAGCAAATTAAAGCAGGACCCAGTTTAATATTCGACATGTCTGTCGAAACAAATATTACCTGCTCTGCACAGCCCTAATAATCAATGCCCCTAACAGGTCCAAGGTCCTGATTTTTAGCTCTTAGTCTGAAGGCTGTTCATGCATTTTATCCAAATGCATCACAGACAGAAATGTGAACTGGCATTAATGCCATGGTAAGTTATGGCATTATTCTGGATTCCACTTTAATCACAGGGGGCAATATCTAGCCAAACTGATTTATATCAAAGAAAGTAAAAGGGGACAATCAAGTCAGTCCTGGAGCTGCTGCAACCGGTGGGGCACCTTTGATGCTGTATGTCATTGGTGATTCTTTGGGCAAAGTGACGTGGTGGCATCTATCTCCTCTCCAGGTATGGATGGCCATTGGCTCACAGGGAGCTAATGTGCCCTTTGACAGGTCTTGTTTTTAGTCCTGCTGGGTGTCCACATACCCTCCTCACCCAGGTTAGCCCAGGTAGGTATGCCAGTTTAGTCACCAACAACCCAACCATGGGACAGGCTATACTGGTTTACATGGTACCAGATAGCAGACCAAGAAAGGCCTGACCTGACACAAAGAACTGAAAATAGATCACCAATCTTTAATATGCCCTCCCACACTTCTGTGAAAGCTGAATTTGTGTGACAGGTATCTCAGGCAAAGTGTGATTTCAGGACAGCCTTAACAATGGAGAACATCAGCTAATGTCCCATAAGCTAACATAGGTTAGTGACAGGAGCTTGAAGAATGCTGACTATTGTATATGTGGGCTTTCTTTTTCTGAATGGAAAATCAGAGCCCTTGAGTTTTGTTACTACCAATCCAGCAGGCTTTATTTTCATCTCTCCAAACAAAGGCACATGGCTTTCTCTAAAAGGGATTTTGGATAATGTTTTTCAAAAGGTTTTTATTGTAGGAAGAACTACTGTAATGAAGATTCTTACTAGAATGCTTTCCAAATAGTGCAGTCTGGGCATATATGCCAGCCCATTAAGAAGGAGTTTCAAGCAGGTGAAAAGGCAGTTATTAGTTCCCAGTGTTGCTATGCAGTTTTTCACAGTGACTCTGTAATTCAAAATGCAGAACCAGCATTGGAATCAGGCTCTTTTTTCCCTTGTACTCTTTCTGACCCCATGACTCACTCTGTCCGGTCTACCCAATAGCCTAGCTTCAGTTGGTCTCAGTTATGCCTAACCTGTACTGTGGTGGTTAGGACACAGCAATATGATTCAAGTACCTTCAGGGGCTGGGTCTTGAACCTTAGTAACCCAAGTCATAAGCAGGTACTTAAGCTGGGTACCATAACCCTCTTATTAGCAATACCAAATTGTCATTTCTTGTAGCTTTTGGTTGACTACATTGTTAGGCTTTTGCAGAACACTTCTGTGCCTCTACTGTGAAACTGAATCATGATGATCATAAATGGATTTTGATGGCTCTGTGACTATGGAGCTAAAGTAGATACTTAAGAAATTCAGACCTTTTACTGCAATTCATGCCACTACTTGATATAAAGTGTAATGCAATTTTGTGACTTAGAAGCCTAAAAACCTGTTTAAGTGCCACTTAGACATCTCAGCAGTGAAATATATTTTTCCCTCTGCATCAGAATCAACACTTAGAATTGTACTGGAGAACAGAACTGGGAATCAATATAGTCTTTGGAGACTTGGAATAGTATTATCCTCAAAGCACATACCACTTGGTTCATGAGAAACTGTACTTGCCCAATAGCTGAAGCTTCTAAGCAGTCTTCAGGACTAGCCACATTGCAGTAACATTGTCTTGAGATCATAAAGGCACAGATAATTGTGTAAAGGCCACATGTGTATTGATGTGTATATGAAGGTTCTCGTAGTAAACATTCAAATCAGTTTGGGGACAGTAATGAAGGCATAGGCAGAATGTCATCATCCAGACTGAAATTCAGCCAGGCTAGAAGGTTAACATGCCTGCTCTTGCAAAAAAAAATGATGGGGGATCTTTTAATGACAGCAAGCAGTCAGGACATCAATGTTGCATCAGATTTGAAAGATGGCAATTATAGCAGTGCTACCTAACAGTATGCTGGGGCATTAGTTCAATATTGACAGAGGGAAGCATGCCATCTACTGATTTACCACCTGAAACATTCACTCGCTGAACCACATATTAGAAAGCTGGAACCAAATACAGAAATGCTAGAAACCATAGTTGACTATGCTAAGCTAAGTTCTGAGGAAGGGAAACTTCACAAGTTACAGTATTTCTGTTTTGTGGTTCCCCAGCACAGGAAACACAAAGTATACACAACAGACTATAAAATCCACTTTTAGTATAAACCACCAGGCTTGACATGCATGAGGCTTTACAAAATATTTTCCATTTTCTGTAATGGTGATCATGTATACAACAACTTCTACCTGTAAATGTAAAATGCAAACTCAAATTATCCAAACATCCTCTTACAAGTTTTTGCAGCTGGGAAACTCCTGCGAGGATCTTGGGGGAAAATCATGATGGTGTTTAACGCTAAAACTTATGTTCTAAACACAGAATGCTTTAGTTCAAGCTCATTCAATGAGCTTTAGTTCAAGCACCCCCACTGCCATTTTGAAGCGCGGGGATGCTGACACACAAGACGCGGGAGGCTGCTGGAGTGTGGTAACTACCATGCTCCAGCAGACCTGATTAATCTGTGCATTAATAGCGGGCATCCGAGCAGCCTCTGCGCTTGTGTATAGGCACCCATAGGTGCCATCATACCCTCCCTCTCATTCCACAGCTATCATTTATTTAAAGTCCAGTTCTACAAGTGGGATTATTCACATAATTGGAAATAGGCCTTTTTGGTAAGTGTATGTCAATGGACAAGTGTATGTCAATGGAAAAACTGGTCAGTTTATGTTCCTTTTGACCAGACAAACTTGTATTAGGTGACTCAGAAAAGGGACAAACATAAGACAGTTACATTCAGGATTAATTACATGCAGCCAAATTGTTACCTCAGTTGCACAGTTTATAAGACTTCATGGATTTAACTGGGGTTCTTTTGCTTGTACATTAATGTAACTGGAGCCTGATTCAGGCCTTCAGCAGTAAGTCATGTTCCGATAGTATGACATTTCACAGTGCATATTTTATCTCCTACTTGTACCTTTAAGAAGAAATATTTTTTTACACATTTTGCTATGCATCTGTCAGCTAACACAGGGCTCAAGTCTGATATTAATTCTTTCTGATATTCTTTCTGAAATTAACTCTTTCATATTAAATATAACTTTTTTCCTCAAGTAAGCCTTTTGATATGACAATAGCTAATTATGGAGTAAAATAGTCATGTGTAATGAAAAAGGAGTAAACTGCTTCATTTTAGCTTCCACTTACTGACGGATAGGAACAGACACATAAAATGGTTACCACGGAGCGGCTGATGCATGGGAAGTCCTCCTTTGAACCAGGTATAACTTTTGTTAACTTTTGTTTGCCTGTCCACATCCCAGAGGAAATTAAATAAATCACAGGGATTAATCATAAACCTCATCCAAAGAACAAACTTGCTATGGAGAAGGGAACATTGATAATGCATCTTAGTGGCAAATGAAACTGGGTTGCAGTAACTTTAGACCAGAGGTAGCTTAGACAGTCTGACTTACAGATAGACCCCAGGCCTAGCTTTTGTGAATATGCTAGTCAGGCAGATTTTTATTTGCATGAAAATAGACTTTAGGAAACCATTAAAATGTAGCAAAAAAAGTATTTAATGCCTAAAGGCATCTTCATTTTATCTTTGCCATCATATTCTAACAATCTAATTTCATTATATTTCACTGCACTACAGTCTATATTGAAAATTATATAGCATGGAAACACCTAACTCTCTCCATCTTCCTTTTGCTTTTGGCTTTTGCAGCTGCTGTTTTCTCAGTGTTGTCTTCGGGCAGTTTCCTGTTGCCATAGCTGATGGCCTGCCAGCGCCTGCCTGGGCCTTTCAAGTGTCAACACTACGAAGTTTGCTGCGATGGCCAAATGCTTGTTAATGAGATATAGCAGCTGGGTAGGGGTGAACCACTGAGATGTATAAAGGCATGCCGCTGGTGCAGGAAGCGATGCCTTTTGAATCTTTTCAGCACTCTGAAAGCATTCAAATCAAAGAGGGTATGTTGTATTCATCAATAAACCAAAGTTCCCATGCAACTTTGTT